GGGGTGGGGGGTGGGGTCTTCGTTTGGATGCCATTGTAACAGAATCCTTTTTATAAAGCAAAAATGTTGGTTATTCCTTGTTCTTCAAACAAAGTGAGTGATGCGCAAAATAATACAGAAAATTAATTTAATTTAGCCGTTGAATGTGATGTTTTTGAACACACGTTGCAGTAAGGTTACTATGCACTCAAACCACATGTTGGCGTATGCACATCTTTCCTACTTACAAAATTTTTCAGTCATAAGTCTGTTGTTAAAGAGAGTTATTTCTAAAAACTGTTGGTTTCTTGGGTTGGTATAATTTAAGCTCTGTCACTGTCAAAGAGACGTTCAGATTTGCCATTTGATTTAATTGAACTAGGCAAGGAGGAACAGAGTTTTGGTGATATTTATTTTGAAAGTTAGGAAAAATTGTATCCTCGGCAGTGTTGCAAGTACAAGTATGACTACGAGCGCTGTAGTATATGGTGACACGGTTTTGAAGTGAACAGACTGATTTCCAATCACAGTATTTAGATGAAAACTGTTGTTTCTGGCAAAATAGAAGGAAAAAGTTGGATTTTCAGTTCTTCACACGTGATTCTATGCCACCTGATGACGGCTGAGACCAAAACATGTTGCCAGTTTAATACATAATTAGTACACACTGACATTCACAGTGCTGCTCCTTGCATTTCAACTGTTTCCATAGTTTTCGTTATAGTTTGGGTAACCATCGGTCATCATTAAGTTGCAACGTGTGTTAGAAATACAAATACTTGTTTTTGTGCGTATACACAACAGACAGTCGGTCGATTTTAACAGTTTGTTGTGAATTACTTCAGCTTCGTGCTCACAACGAGGAAGGTCCCTCACGCTGGTCTGATGAAGTTTGTTATCGGACGCTTCCCGACAGACCCGCCACACCTTCCAGGCCTACGGTCAAGGGTCGTGTTCATGCTCAGACATTTAAAATGAAGTGGGATCCTCCATCAGACTGCGGTGGTGCAGATATTACCACATATCTTCTGGAACTTGATGGAGGAAGTGGTAAGTAATACTGGAAAGATTGATTGTTTATGTCACAGAGCAGCACGCGTTCTTGAGTTCAGCGTCTTTCCCTTTGCCAATTTGATGTGGCTGGTGCTTCTGTCTCCTACTTTTATGCAGCTGGATGCAGTATAGATGAATAAATTCTTTTCATCACATTTTGTGTTGTTAAAACGGGAAATTTATCATAAAGCAAGATTGATTGTGGTATATATCAGGAGTTCTAAACCCACAGGCTTCACGTTTCACACCAGCATGTTTTGCAACACGCGTGCATGCATGTGCTTGGTTACTTTGTGCCATTACTGGGGCCACGTCACATAATGCAACTAAATAGTTAGGTTGGTATCGTCTTCTTTAACTATGAAAGGTGAACATTTTTCATTCCGGAATATTGAGATTCTTTAGAAATGTCTTTGGAAAACATGGACACATTGCAAATAGCTCTCTTACTGTGAATTCTAATGGCATATTTTCACATTCTGTCCAGCTTTGCTGGTGAAGTAGCAGTTGAGGAAGTTTCAGGTTGATCTCACACGGCAATTTAATGAAACGTCGGATATTACAGACTTGTGAAGAAATTAATAAATTAAAATTAAATTCACAGCTCGTAAAGCAGTGGGTGCTTGTGCTGTTCACTAAGAGTTTTATTGGGGAAGAGAAGGGGTGAAGTTCTTCTGTGGCCTTGAAGCGTGCACGTTTTTTTTAATTGTGCGGGTTATACTTAAATTACAGTGTTCATTTTATCGTTTCAGGTTTTGAAACTGCGTATACAGGTTCAGAGACAGAATTTATATGCGATCGCCTGACTCCCGGCACCACGTACCAGTTGCGCGTGTCGTGCATCAGTGCAGGAGGCCGTAGCAAATGTTCAGACCCGTGCATTGTTACTACAGAGGCTGTTTGTCCTGGAAAATGCTCTCCACCTCGCTTGCATGGCAAACCACGTGCCACTTCCCTTGCCCTCAAATGGAGTAAGTTAAGTTTTACTACCGTGTCAAGTTTATCTTTCAGCAGAAATGTCTTCTTATCTGAAAACTCTGTGAACACCCTACATTCATGTGAAATATTCAGGAAACTTTATCAAATGATGATTTCTCATCTGATTTTCTTCTATTTATCCTTACTACTCTTCACACATAAGTGCGTACTTCAAATAACAGTTGTCTTTGCCGTGAACCTTTAATTCTAAAATAATAGCCTATACTGTATTTACGTGAATG